GGAGGGAGGGAGAGGGCGTGAGAGAGAGACAGAATCCTAAGCAGGCCCCAAGCCCAGCACAGAGCCCTATGCAGGGCTCAATACCCCAACCTGAGCCAAAATCAAGAACTGGAAGTTTAACCAACTGAGACACCCAGGCACCCCCATCCTTTTTTTGAGATGGGTATGTTTTAAAATATCCTGATTTAGGGGAGCCTGGGTGGCTCAGTCAGTTAAGCGTGTGACTTGGGCTCACATCACGACCATGCATCTTTTGAGTTAGAGCCCCACACTGGATTCTCTGCTGTCGGTGCAGAGCCAGCTCTGGATCCTGTCTCCCTCTCTCTCTGCCCCTCCCTCACTGGCACTCCCTCTCTCAGAAATAAACATTTAAAAAAGATAAAATATCCTGATTTACATTTAGTTTCGTGCCAAAATAGGACACAGACTTCTACTCTCTCTTCCTATCCACTGAAGCTGAGCAAAGGTACAATTTTTCAGCCTCCCAGGTTTGAAATCTTGGGATTTTTAATTTTTAATTGAATTTATTTTTCATTGTTTATTTATTTTGAGAGAGCAAGAGAGTACAAGAGCAGGAGAGGGGGAGAGAGACTCCCAAGCACGTTCCATGCTGTCAGCGCAGAGCCAGAAGTGGGGCTTGATCTCATGAACAGAGAGATCATGACCCAAGCAGAAATCAAGAGTCGGATACTTGACTGATTGAGACACCCAGGTGCCGTGTTTTTAACTGAATTTAATTTTATTTTTCAAAGTAAGCTCTACGCTCAAGGTGGAATTTGAACTCATGACCCCAAGATCAAGAGTCACACTCTCTACAGACTGAACCAGTCAGACACCCTTCTTGGGATTTTTTTTAAGTTTTTTTTAAATGTTTATTTACTTGGGCAGGGGGAGGGGAGAGGGGGGCAGAGAGAGAAGGAGACACAGAATCCGAAGCAGTCTTCAGGCTCTGAGCTGTCAGCACAGAGCCCGACGAGGGCCTCGAACTCATGGACCACGAGATCATGGCCTGAGCTGAAGTCACTTATTCAACTAACTGAGCCACCCAGGCACCCCGAGACTATTTTTGACTCCCTTTTTTTTTTTTTATCTCCTTCTATCCAATTGTCTAAGTACCATATGTTGTTTCTCTCTCTACTACTGCCCTATCAGGCTATCTTTACCTTATTCATCATCAACTTGGTAGTGCAACAGCTGCCCCCTTCCAGCCTCTTCCTCTTTCCAATTATCCTGCATACCACACCAAGACGGTGCTCACTGTTGTATTAACGTTACTCTAGCTGGGCTATGAAAGGGGAAGTCTAAGCTCTGCCTTTAACTATTGGCAATGGACACTTAAAACTCTAATAAAACTCCATTTCCTTAATAACTAGATAATAGAACCAATACCTACCCCAACAGGTTGAGAATTAAAGAATATATTTGTGGGGCACCTGGGTGGCGCAGTCGGTTGAGCGTCCGACTTCAGCCAGGTCACGATCTCACGGTCCATGAGTTCGAGCCCCGCGTCAGGCTCTGGGCTGATGGCTCAGAGCCTGGAGCCTGTTTCCGATTCTGTGTCTCCCTCTCTCTCTGCCCCTCCCCCGTTCATGCTCTGTCTCTCTCTGTCCCAAAAATAAATAAACGTTGAAAAAAAAAATTTTTTTTTAAAATAAAGAATATATTTGAAAATACTTCAGAAACTACAAAGCTTTACAAAGATATCTGCAAAAAATCGTATCTATACTGTACATGATTCAGAGAGAAGAGACTTTTGGGGCACCTGGGCGGCTCAGTCAGTTAAGCATCCGACTTTGGC